AAAAAAAACTTATAAATTTTATAATCGTATATCATGTGCCTTATACTAACTTGTGTTTCCTATATTACATATACTTGTACATATATGTTCAAGCATAGTATTTAAAGTATATTTTATATTAAATAAAGAATTCCAAAGTTTTTATTTTAAAATTTATTAAATGTAATTAAAGTTGACAAATAATTAACATTTCTATTTAACAATGTTTTAGTCACGCGATGAAATTTTTCTCTGCCATTAAAATAAAAATAGAAAATTCGTAGACATACGAGTACTAGTAGTTGAAATGTGAAATTTACAAGAAAAAAAATGCATAAACTTATAGTTGCTTTACTCTAGAGCTTAGTATTCAAACATGATTTTTTTTTTACATAATTTATAAGAATAATTTAAAAGTTTTTATGTGCATAAGAACAATACAAAAATTTTAATTGTTATTTAATTGTTTTAAGGTCAAAACATGATATGGAATAAAATGATAGATGTTCAGCATTTTTTCTCAACTCATACTTGTGTGTATAAAATTTATTCGCCGGATATAATAAATTTGTCATTTCATTTATTAATCAGTCGATTTTCATAATTTTAAGGGTGAAAAACAAAATTGAAGTGGGTAGGTATTTATTGTAGTAACTCAGTTGGTCTGCGATTCTTAAAAGCAACTCTGCAATGTAGTGTTTACTCTGCAATATTCGTTGTGGATGATTTTCTATGACCTTATTTGAAATTAGTTTGTCTGTTGTTTTGTTTATGGTTATTCCTTTTTTGGAATATTTACAAAAATTTTGGAAAAAAGTGTCCCTTTTAATTTCATTCTGTTTGTTCGTCCGTCTTGTTTGCAAAACTCTTACACCGTTCAATATAAAAATGTAAAATTGTAAAAACTATGTAGTATGTATATTTTAGTTTCAAAATTGCAAAGATAGATTTTTCCTTTTCTAACTATGCAAATATTAAGCTTAATTGCCGAAAATGTAATTTCTTTATTATGAAACGAATTTTACAGAATATATGTGTGCAATATAACATAGATGCTATATGTATAAGTAATACAACAAATGCAATATATAGTCTATGGTACAAGCTAATACCAGTAAATACTAGTATTTCAGATATTTCTTAATTTAGCCATAATTTTTGAAACATTATTGAAATAAAAAAACAATGTCGTCGGGTCATTACAAACCGTTTTGTCTGTTTCCCGGATTTGTATTCCAAATTCAAATAAATCTATATAGTTTAAATAAAGGCTTACACACAATATTATATAAAAATGTTCTTCATATAGAGTTACCTCAAATTTTAAGGAAAACTCATTTCCTAGTGAATTTACTTATAAAAATGTGAATTTGGTTCAGAGTACAGATTCACTTTTTAGGGTTCGATTTTCTTGAAAAGTTTTTCAGTTAGCTTAGTTATTGTACGGAGCTAAAATATTAAATTTCAAGAAATTATTCAAATTTTCTCTTATATGTGATGGAAATTTAAAAAATAGGTCCATGCTAAAGCTCCAGTTTCTCAGACCTGGTTTTATGTAAAGTTCTGAAAAAATGAGTTCACAATATTCTCAAAATAAATTAAAATTATAAGGTATCCGCAAAAATTCGTTTAGCTAAACTTGACGCATAATATCTAGGAAAAGTTCTGCTCTGCTCCAATTACGGAAAGTAAAAACCCTATGCGAAAATTTGTGAGAAAACAATACCTCTCTCTAAAAACATGCAATTACTCTTAGTAAAAAAGTGTATAGGTAAAAATAAAATTTACGTTATTTATGTGAAGAGCATGACTTAAAGTTACTTTTAGTCTGACAGTATGGTAAAAATACGAATATCGTATAATTTTTCGCAAAGGCGTTCTATTGCTCTCATCTGAGTTAATTTATTTTAATTAATTACATTTAAGACGCAAATACAGAAATTAAGAAAAAACACACTTATTGGAAGAAGTTTTCTTAAAAACAGAAATGTATTAAAAGTTATTAATCCCAAGGAGGCAATTAAAAATTTTGAACCAATTGTAAAAAAGGTAAAATTATATTAAGTAAATTATGTAGGCAGAAATTATAATAATGCTTTCACTTTTAATGTATCATTTTTAACGAAATTATAGCTTATGGTAATATTTTTTAATAATTTATTTTGAGTAGCTTACTTTTAGAAAATTTTATTTATGTTAAATATACTAGTGTATGATTCAACGTAATTATAGTACTCATAATTACATACAACCATTAATTTAATGTAAAATTTCTAACAGTCAATAAATCTCATTTTTATAATAAAAAAATTTATAAAAAATAATTTTTTAATTATTATTGCTTTAAGATATACAGACATATTTAAGAGAAACATGTAAATATTGTTGAAATTTAAAATTACGCCATGTCAGATTTGAGTCTCAGAGTCTTGTTCGCTTGTGGAAATGTGAGTAAAAAATTCGTATTCACATGTGTACAAAATTGGTAATGAATTTTTACAAACTTTATTTCCGAGTTTTGGATCCATATAATTTTCCAATTAAAGAAAAAAAAGAAAATTAGTTCTTGTACACGAATTTCATTATAAACCAGAAAAATCGGATAAAAAATAGGAGTACCACTGTTTTCGCCATAGCTTCTACGTTTTTCTCAGGATTTAGGATCATTTCAAACCATAATTTTTGTAATAGGATTTTTGTTAAATACAAAATTTAAAAATTCATGTATATGCACTGCAAAGAGCTTTTCAATATGAAGGCCAAACTTTGAATCATAGTGTGGGAAAAAAATTAGAATAAAGTAGATTTCTCCAAACTATTAATAACTCCTAGGAATTAATAAAACAAAATATTTATATGCTATATTACCTATATACATGCCTTTTCCTTTTTCTATACAATACTTTCCCTACTTTTTCATATCTGTATGTTTTATTGTTTATTTGAATGTTGCATTTATAACAGTAATTTACAATTTGGAAATCTACTATTTCAGCACAATGTATTTATTTCTGAATTTATACTTCGTAATACATGAAAATAGTTTTTTTCTTGTGCGACTTCTTTAAGACTAATTTGTTAAAAAATATGGTAGAAGTGCGGATATGTAAACCACTTATCTGTGTTAGAAATGTCATCATTTTTTAATTTATGTGTTTTGGAAATGCGATATCATAATTTCTTTAACACTTCCATTATAAAATATCAATTTTCCTTTATACAATTGTATACACATATTATACAATCGGATAAGTTATGTCTTGCTTTGACTGCTTTCTTGAATTAATTTAAAAATAATAATAATTCCTGTCATGTCCTTTGACAAACAATGTGAGGATTGAACAAAACTTATTTTTTTGTTATTCCCCAATATATGCTTGCATAATGTACGATATACGAATTTTTTTTTTTTTTTGGTAAATATAATGTAAAATATTTTGTGTAATCGAAACCCTTTTATCTCAAATTATTTAAAAAACGCAAGAGCAAAAAATTTTGTTTATTTTTGTTTTTAAGAATACGTTATAGATAGATTTAAGCCATGCACGTACGTTTAAAAGAAATTTTTTAAAGGATAACATTAAATAAGTCGAGCATTCAATAACGAAACAGACTTGAAATATCAATGCAATGCTAAAAATACCATACACATATCCATTTATACATGACTATATTGTGTTGTAGAATTTGAATGCTCATGTATTTATACATGAATTCCTTGATATGAATTATAAAACGCATATGATTGTATTTATGTACAATATACATGACGTATGTATGAGAATTTAAGAAAAGACTGAATTTGCAAAGTAAAAAGAAGAAAATCACAAAAGAAAATATTAAATTTAAAGGAAAAAATTTAATTTGAGAAGGGTTGCGAAACTTAAGAAATAAAATATGTATGCAAAAAAAAAAGAGAGGACAGCTACTCAACATAGCTTTAAAAAGATTTTTGAGCAAAAGGAAGATGGAATTTTTTTTTTCTTACGCCTAAAACCGTCAAAGAAATTAGATCTATATTAAAATGATTCAAATACTCTTATGTATGTGTATATAGCGAAAACTATATATGCATATTTATTAATTTATTAACATGTACGGGCAAATGTATTTTTTATAAACATTCTTACTTTTTGATTTTTATATTTAAAATTTTCCATTTTTAAAATATTTTATTGAAAAAATTTCGGTTTTCCTGTTTGATTTGATTAAGATTTTATGAAAAATTTTTTTTTTTATTTTCTCACTTGAAGTTTTTTAAACCTAAAATTCTTGTGAAATGAATGACTTTTAAAAATATATTTCAAAAGTGAATGCTTCGGCGATAGGCTCTAATCAAAAATTAAATAAAATTGTGAATATTTTAATAAGACAACAAAATTGTTTGTTTTTTATTATAAAATTCACAAAACACATAATGGACTTACCACGATTACAATATCATATTGTGGCTATGATAATATAATTTTAAAAATATGAAAATGAATTTACAGGAAAAATATATTGATGAGTTTATGATTCTAAAAATTGTGTTTAAAAATATTATATGAAGTTTGAAATTTAAAACAGAAGTTATATAGGCAACGGTAGAAGTGATTGACTACTCAAAATAATAAGTATGTATTATGCACAAAAATAAAAGGGCCTTATTTCAATGTCATTTTGTAAACGATACCTTTTTCACACTTCTACCAATCGCCTTTTTAAGGCTTCACACATGATTCATTTTTGGTTTCACACACATTAGACCTTGTTTTTTTTAATGATCAAAGCTTCATTTATTTCCCAAAGTTATTTACATACATATTGCTAAAGAATGTTAACGAAAAGTGTGAATGAAATTATAATTAATTTTTAAATTCCGTTCATTGTATTTCAATCTTAGTATTCGTACTCGATTTAAAGAGTGTTAAATAAAATTGTAGACGATACTATTGTCATATACATTTGGAGTTTTCGCACAGTATATAAACAAAACTATACAGCTGAGGAAATATGTATGTATTCAAAACTAATGTAACTAAAATAAAAAACAGACTGATTTATTATAAAAAACAAAATGTACTTTGTTTAATAGTCACAATAAGAAAAAAACGCAAATATTACAATATTTTTTATCCTAAAACTACTATTGCATTGGACTTAATGCATGAGTATGAACAATTTTCTTCTCTAAACCTCGTTTGATCACATGTGGAATTGTTTTCGGTACCATACTAAATAAGAAAATTGAAGTGTATTACAAAATGTCGAGCATAGTGCACATTAAAGAAATAATTACCTGATACAATCAATAATTGGGCAAACTGATAAACATAATGTACATCCGGTGCAGTCATCAGTAACATGTGGAATGTGTGTTTCAGGATCAAAGGAAATTGCTTGATAGCCAGAATCTGCACAAGTCATGTAACATTTTCCACAATTAATGCACAAGTCCTAAATATTTTTAAATACGAGTATTTATTAAACAAGGTAACTGACATAAAATTTCGTTTTCATAGAAATTAATTATTTGTAAATTTAAAGAACTCACATCATCAATCAGAGCAACAACTTGTTTTTTATTATCTAATTGCTTGTATGTACCGATGTGTGGCAAAGCTCTTCCAATAATGTCTTTGATTTTTGGTACAGCTTCTACATCAACATTTAAGTTTCCTTTCGAATTATTGTGATCTCCGTTCAAATTTTTAATTAGATCTTCATCACTACCTGATACCCATAAAGGTCCTTTTGATTCACGAATTTTGATTAATTTCTGCTCTCTAAGTTTGTTGTATGGTCCAAAATGTGGAAGTGTCTAAAAATTAATTGACAATTATACATAAGTACACAAACAGAAATAGAATATAATTATTAAAATTTAATGAAAAATAATTACATTTCCATATTCGTCTTCCAAGTGCATTACTGGTTTTCCTTTCTGCATTTTGAAAACTGGCGGTGATTGACCATCCCAAAGATGAGAGTTTCTTGGTGGAGGATTTGCTTTTAAGTATAGTAAGGTTTTCAAACCCGTGCAATAATCATCAATTAATGTAAAATCTTGATTTTGTATTGATGAGCAAACTTGTAATACACTTGCCCCACACTGCAAAAACTGCAGCGCAACTTCAGCTGAGTCTATTCCACCAATACCTAAAATGGGAAAACCTGGTAAAGAATTTGCAACTGATGATATTGCTTTCAAAGCCATTGGTCTTGTGGCATTTCCACTAACACCACCATAAGTAGTACGCTCTCCATCTCCAACAGATGGCCAAGGTTTCCCATTTGCGTTTATAGACATTAAGCCTTGTACGGTATTAATAGCAGAGACTCCATCAGCCTGACCTTCTTTAGCGGCTGCTGCAATTGAGACTATGTCGGTAATATTTGGAGTCAGTTTGACAAAGAAGGGAATTTTAACTGAGGCTCGAACCCATTTCGAAATACCACGTACTAATTTTGGATCTTGACCACACGCTAAGCCCATGCCAGACTCACCCATACCGTGCGGACATGATAAATTTAACTCCAGTGCATCAGCTCCAGCATTTTCAGCAGCTTTGGATAACTTAACCCAATCCTCTTCATTGTAAGAACACATTATACTAGCAATAACAATTTTTTCAGGAAAATCATTTTTCAATTCAGTTATGCTACGTAACCAATATTCAGCACACTTTTCAGATATTAATTCAATGTTCAGAAAAGAGCCTTGTTGTGGTCCATAATTATATCCAGATGTAACCCCCCGCACAATACGAGGCGAGACATTTGTTACTAAATCTTTATCAAGACCAAAAGTTTTTGTTACGGCAAAAGCCCAGCCTTGTTCAAATGCGCGTCTGATCATCGCAGCGCTTGTGGTTGGAGGTGCTGAAGCTAAACCAAAAGGATTTTCAAATTTTAACCCACACATTTCAACAGATATGTCAACATTATCAATATCAGTATAAAAAAACGGTAACTCTGGTGTCGTATCCAAAGAAATACCCTAAAAATAAAAAAACAAGAAAATATAACAAAATTATATTTTCACAAAGAATTTTTAAATAAATACTTGTTTTTGTTAAAAATATATTCGAAATATGAACTTACTTGAAGGTAGCAATGCATATGCCAAGCGGCAACTTTACCATCGTTCACCGATTCTACTGTAGTTTCAGAACATCCGGCTAAATCTCCACCGCAAAATACTTGAGGTAAAGAAGTTTGTTGCGTTTTTGGATTAACTTTCGGTAGATTATATTCATTTAAAGATAGTGGCTTTAGCGCATGAATTACTGAAGAAAAATAATTTTATTAATTATAAAATAGAATAATTCAAATATTAATTATAATTATAAGAATATTAAACTTCAAAATGGAATATTAAGCTTCAACATGAAAAGATTAAACTTCAAACTAAATTAATAATAACAACAAATATTTCAATATGAAATGTAAAATTTCATAAGTATCGGATGAATTTTATTAAAGGTTTAGTTTACATTTATTTTTGTGTAATTTTGCTTACATGCAAAAATTTACATTGTATGTGTAGGTTTGAATGTTTTCGGCCCGCTTATGTGAGGCAATTGACTTAGAATGGGTAAGTACGCGGTTCAATATTTAAGAGGTGCGTGAAATGACTGTTATAGGAATTTATACTGATAATATTATTTGACAGATACAGATCTTTTTTCAGCATTTTTATTTAAAATATGCATATGGTATTTGCAAAAGTTTTTATTATGAACAAAATAAATGAAAGTAAAATTGATCCCAAAATGAATACTATGTAAATTTTTAACATTATTATTTTTTATTCTTCTTTTTGTCATTGTTTTTGAGCAACTCGTTTTGTGCGACAACCTAATGTGTTTTTTGACACTCCAAAATTTTTCACATAATTTACTGCGACGTGCTTTGAAAATTCTTACCACCAAGTAAGTAAAAACTTTAAACTGTGAAAGATTCGGAAGCGACCTAAATGCATTGGTACAGTACTACGAGTTTAAATAACACAAGAAAAATTCATGAGCGATGATAATTAGGTATACTATTTTACGTTGAAATGTGGAATTTTCAGCTTGAAATTAAAAAATTGAAGCTCTAACATTTCAAATTAGTACTAAACTTTTGACATAAAATTTTATTTATTGGCTTTGTTTAAAAGTGTTTTGTGAACTTACGATCTTCATCGGTGACTCCTGAACCAAATGCTGAAATTACAAAACTCGCTTTTAATTTGGTAACTTGCTCCTTGTCAATATACCAATTTCCTTGTTCATCCTGCTCATTTCTGAAGAACTCGACGGCGACAATCTGTAAATTGTTTTTTTTTTTTTATTTTATTTATTTGCAGCGTAAATTATTCTTTAAAAAGAAGTTAGAAAAAAAAAATGTAATCACCCTTCCATCCTTCAAAGTGACATTTGATGGTGTTAAAAATGGAATAAATTCACACTTTTCATCCCTTGCTAATTCAGCTTCCTCAGGAACTGCACGTATATTTGAAGAGCCTCTTCTAAACACAATAAAAACTTTTCGAGCCCCACATCGTAATGCTGAAGTAGCGCAGTCAAAAGCTGTATCTCCTGCTCCCAGAACAATGACGTTACCATATAGTTCTGGAAGGGTGGACTGACTTTTACAGGCACACAATCCTGACTTACTACCTCCAGCTACTTTCGGCAAAAAACTTTTTGAAGTGTAAAACCCATGCTCTTCTGACAAACCTTTGAATTCTTTACTAATTTTTGGTTGTGGCAAACCAATTCCCAGAAAAATGCCATCGATATCAGATTTCAATAAATTCTATTTTAAATTATCAGTTTTAAAAAATAATATTTTGTCAAAGTTTCCTGAAGTGTTTACCTCTATAGTTAAATCTTTCATCGATAACGATCGGTTGGTTTCAAATTTGACGCCGAGATCCTTGACAAGCTGGATCTCAAAATCCACTACATCGTATGGTAGACGATATTGAGGTATTTCAGATGAACTAATATAGAATTAACCCTTTAATTGTAGTAAAAAATAAGTCAATTTTGCTTACCTTAAACCTCCCAAATAGCTATTTTTCTCATAGATAGTTATATTTTTATAACCAAGTCGGCCTAAAAATGAAGCGCAAGACAAAGAAGCAGGACCAGCACCAATCAAAACAACTTTTTTATTTGGGTATTTTAGTGGTTTCGCATTGGGCGGCACAATTTGTCGAATTCCCATTTGCTTGAAAACATCTGTAGCAAATTGTTGTAATCCACCAATATTAATTCCACCTTCTTCCGATGCTTGAAGATTACAACCCCCAACACATAGATCACTTGTTGGGCAAACCATGCCACAAGTTAACCCTAGAGGATTATCAGAAAAAATAGCTTTAGCTGCGCCGTAATAATTTTTATTAGCAATGCTGGTTATAAAACTTTTAATATCAAGCTGAGTAGGGCATGATTTTTGACAAGGGGCATCGACACATTTTAAACATCTGGCCGCTTCTCTTAAAGCTGCCCTTTCAGAAAGAGTTGTATGTTTTATATCTTCAAAATTGTTGCGAAGATGGAGATTAGACTAACAAATATAAATAAAAAAACAAAGTATAAGTAAAAAAACAATATAAATATAATAATGTTGGGCAAAATTACTTATTTAAATTTCTTACATTACAACCCTTATCTGCATTTCGTTTCCAATGCTTTTTATTGGATTTTGTATCTTGAGTTGCAACAATGTTACAATTGGTTTTGACTCTAGGATTAAGCGATAATAAGCTCTACAATAAAAAATGCAAATATTTTTTAATATTCTTTATTAAATAAAATGAAACAAACCTCAATATCTGGAACTTCTTTGCTCAGTAACGCTGGCGGACTCATAGCTAAAATACAAAAATAGTACGAATTATTAAATCACTAAAATTATTATCACGTTATCAAATTGTTTATACTGTAAATATAATGTATAAATGTATAAGTGTTATATATTATGTTTATAATATTTAATATATGATTTATGTACATATATTATATATTTTTAAAGTTTTTATTTCTTAGACACTGCGTAGGTAATCAACGTTTGTTGATAGCGATGGTAACAAAGAAAGCTTTGATTATTTCCACAAATATCAAATATTAAACTTTTAATATTTGAATTGATAATTCAAACAAATAATAAATAAAAATATCTTTCAGCTCTTAAAACTGCATTTTAACAGTCGTTGTACATTCACTTTAATTGCAAGTCAAAATAAAATTGTTTTTTCGAAGTTTTTCAGGAAGTAAAAAAAAACAAGAACAATTTGAGCACTCTTTTAATATTTTTATATGTAAATATAAAATTATAACAATACAACGAAATACAAATTAGAAATTCAAAAATGAATAATTGTTTTTCCAATTATGAATGAAAAGTAATAGGATTTTGAATTTTTAGGATAGACTTTGTTCTTTACTCAGATAATTAAAAATATATTTTTCACTTGTACCAATTTTATACATTTATCGCACAGTTTGTAATCAAAAATAAAATGTTGAATCCTAAACTCAAAAAAAGTTTAATTTAATAATGTTTCGACAGAAGCAACTGTTAATTCTAAAAATAATTTACATAAGTTAAAGTAATGTATCTTCGATATTTTAAGGAACGTTTTTAATTTTTTAGGCCTATTATTACAAATATTTGATGCATACGGAATTCGAATGTTGTTTTGTATTACTTTTATATATATAAAATTAATTGTATTGCAAATTTCGAGACAGAACATGAAAAATTATACTTTTTTAAATTTAGAAATATTTCGGCAAATCAACTAATGTTTACTAAAGTCATTGAGTTTTTAGTTTCTTCAAGTCGGGTTGCTAACTTCGTCATGGTAATGAAGAAAAAAAGTTTTTTAATTCAATTCACTTTTCTTATAATAGAAAAAAAATATCTTAATTTCTTGTTTATTAAAAACAAAAATTACGCAAATTAAGAAATAACATCTATTAAATTAATTTTTAAAACAAAAAACAAATTAAAAAATAATTGCTATCTAATACTTTTTCTATTTTTGATTTCTTGAATTATTGCCAATTGTAGTTTGTCTGCTAATATTAATCCTTGATTCTATTTATTTAACAAAATTACACTAAAACAACAAAGTAAATGTAAATCCTGCACAATAATAATATCGTAGAACCTTTTGATAAAATACTTAAGATTTGAATTTTGTTGACATAACGATTTTACCATTCCCGATAGACTTAAGTATTGAATTTTGTCACTCCAAAAAGTATGATTGAATAAAAAATTTATCACAAACTACTTTTATTTAAGATTGTTTATTAAAGAGATTATAGGAGCAAACTATACACTTTTTTTGATTGCCAAAGATTCTGATCTGAATGTGTGATTCTGAACTAAAACAAAATTGATGGAATTCGATATTTTGGTCATAAATATTTTAAAAAACGATTCTGCATTTAAAAGTTTTTAATATTTTAAATTTTAGAATTCAATATTCATACCTTAAATTACTTCCTTCAGCCATTTAATTACGTAAGTCTGATGGATTAATACTCGTATCCACCTCTATAAAACTTGGGGTCTAATATTGTCATTCAATTTTTTTTTTTTTAATTTCAATTTTAAGGAAGAATAAAGGTTTTTTAAACGTTTATTTAAGTATAATTAGTTGAAATATAAAAATTTTGGAAATTTAACAACTTTAAATCCTTACGAAATGTTTTTTTCTGCTTTGAAAAAAAACTTATTCTTTTTTTTTTTAGTTTTAAGTATATTTAAAAGTAAAAATGATTTAAATTTATTGACAACAGATGGAGGTTTTTGGTGTTGTACAAAAAAGTTAAAATTGTGCGATGTATAACAAAAATTAACATCCATGACGAAGTGATCTTAGTTTACCTTATACCCCAGAAACTGTAAATATTACAGTAAACAAATTTCAGTAAGCGAGTCTAAATATGGTAAGTTTCTCATTTGTAGTGCTATAAACATCATATAAGTCACAAATTAGTTTTCGCTTATCGCTTTTTCTGTTTCTAAGTACGTATAGCTAATTGGCAAATAATATAGTACTTTTATTCGGTTAAGTTAACATCAATAATTTAAAGCTTTTTTGCTTTATATTGCGAGCAAAAACAATCGAAAAATTTTTTTGTGATTTTTTCTATTATAATTTTAAAAAATATTTTATCTACATTAAAAGATTCGGTTACAGCTTTTGAAGATGTGTTTTTTTTTATTCTTTTATTAATATGCTAATCAGTTACTGGCTTATTTAATCAGTCATTACTGATAAGTGAGTTCTTAATAGTATTATAATATTAATAACATTTCCAAAGTTATATGAAATTATAAAAATTTTTTTTACTGTAGAAATTGTTATCATATGTTTTTGGAGTATTCATTAGAATGAAAATGAAACAAAATAATTTTTTGAAACACTTACGAGTATTATTTATAATTTTAATAGATCAAATTTCATATATTACCGAGTTTTAAATAGAAATCTTATAGAGATATCCGTGTCTACAATCATGGTATCTCAATTTCAGTTGAACTGATTTTGATGAAAATTTACAACTAGGTTTATTTCAGCCATGTCACGAACTGATCAATATTGGCTGGTAAAATATTAAATAGATTTGCTTGAGATTTTATGTATGAATTTCGTCTGAAAATATGACTATTTGTATTTTGGTGGAAAATCTCACTCACATAACCGAACTTTAATACGACTGAACTGAATACAAACTGAACTTTCACTAGACCTTTCTTATATTTCCTGGGGGCTTATTTCCAATGGAATTAAATAATGAATTTTTCAGCGAAGTGAAACCACAATATACTTTGTTCAAATAAACAAATTGCACTATGCATCATAGAGATGCAGGTCTTATATTAAAAGTTTTAAATAAATTTAGATTTAACTTTGATTCAGTGTATTATTTTATGTTAAAAATTTACAAAATTACATATTTCATTTAATCTAAATGAAAAAACCAAATTTCAATATAAAATTCAAACAAATAAAATAAGAAATAAAGTTAAAACGGGTTTAAAACGAGTAACTTGTTTTTAATCTAGACGATTATTTTCTTTAATAGACTCTTTTGAGAACATGTGCTTTTATGCCAAATTTACTTACATATTTACAAGAAAAATATTTAAATCATGCGTACCTATACGCATTAAAAGTATTTTCGTTTTTTCTATTTTAATGTGTGAATTCATTATGTAATATAAAGTTCATTATATTAATACGTCAGTAAGAGTTTAATTCGCGTAATTGCGCAGGCAATAAATGATTTTTATACATTCAAAGTATGTGGAATATTAAAGTTTTTTAAATGTTTGTTTTTTCTTTTGACCTATGAAATCAAAAGTTTTTTTTAATGCGTACATTGTAGTATCATTTGACAAACAAAACAACAAAGTAAAAATTTAACTACATCTACTGTATTTCCAAACAGAGTAGATTTATGGATGAGGTAATGAGTTTAAGTAGGCACTGGAAGACTGCTAGTTTCCTTTTTTATTTAAATCACTTTTGAAGGCAATAATATAAATGGTATATTTTCTTAGATTTAGAAACTTTATTTTCAAAGTTCTTTAATAAAACTGTTAAGTTTATGCAGTTAAAATTTTAAAATTTTATAAAAATCGTTAACAGATTTGTTCTTTGTTATAAAGCCAACAAATTTTATTCTGAATGATAAATCTTCAAAAAAAAACTTTTGTTCATTATCTTCGATACAAAGTTACAGAACTCGTGCGAGCTTTACATTCCAATAAAATAAAATTATTATATGAAACAAAGCATTTTTTTAAGTAAGTATTTTATTTAAATAAATTTTACTCACTTTATTTAAATCACTTGATTAACAGTAGCTATAGTAGCTGAATATTATTTTTATATTTATTTTATTAACGCCGAATATTATATAATATTATTTTCTTCACTTATTTTGTTTTGACCTTCAAAACATGTCAAAACACAATATAAGACAAAGTAATAGTTAATTTCAATTATGTTATCAATTGAAAAAAAAATTAAAACAATAACAAAAATAAATTGCAAAAATTATGTATTAACGAACAAGTTTTATTTTAAAATATAAATATAGTTGATCTTCTCACTGGAAGAGTCGAACTTAAACTGATTATTATTGAATTTATTCATAAATCTATGTTTTAATATAATATTCACGCTCAGTGATAAATTAAAAAAAAAAATTGATGTGTTCAGCGTATTAACGACTTTATTATAAACTTTCATTAGTCATCATTGTCAAATTTTCATTAATCATTTCAATGAGCTGATGAGATACAGCTTTAGTTATTATTTTAATCCTACAAAGCGATATAAGTAATACAAAATAGTGAAAATATGATTGTAAATTTAAAATTTCAAGATTATATTCAAGATAAAATAAAAACTATAAAAGTAGAACTTTTATTAGGCTAAGGTTTCTGTAATTCTCTAAAAAGATTTCTCGAAAAAATTTATTATATAAGAAAATTTTTGGATAAGAGTGCCATAAAAGAAAACTAGATGTAAAATTTCATTAAAGCTGCTTCAACCAATAGTCAAATGCAGCACAACTTTCTTTATATAATTAACATGTAAAATTTGATGCCAGCACAATGCCTCACTTATTGTATTCCATGCAGTTGGTAATAAACTCAATTGAATTCATAAAGCAATAATTGCCGGTGGTGTAGTAATATCACTAAGCGAAATGGAAAAACGCTATTAAGAGAACGATAATATGCGGTATAATAAGAGAAAAAAATCGTAGAATTTGCACTCTAAGAGAAACTTCGATTTCTTATACTCAAATTTTTCTAAACGCTTATCAATTATTTTATTATTCTTTTATATTTTAATCAGCGTAGTGTTTACTAAATAAACTAAAGATTTGAAATTCGTTTTACATTATTTCCGTGTGAAATTATTCAAAATTTAAATATACATAGACTAAAACATTTAATATAACGAAATTTCGTGTTTTATATAATAGTATAAGCATTTAAAACTCAAGAGTTAGATTCAAATTTTAAAATAATTGCAATACTGAGTTTGCATTTCTTAATTGCTCACGTCACTTATAATTGAAGTTGAAAAAACAATGGTCTGTTGGGAAAATTTTCTTACAGGATAATAGGCGACATTTTCGAAATTTTGAGGATTAATGACTCGAAAAAAAGAGATGCAAAGAAATTTTCAAATAAAATAGAATATCAATCAATATCTATAAATTATTCTTGTTTAAACTTTAATATAGGACTTACCGTGTAGGAGAAAAATTATTTCAAAAAATATGAAAAAAGTGAATTTCGAAAATGGTTAATGTAAATTGTCAATTCGACAATATGCTTATAAGAATTAAGTTCATAGTTTTAGCTTGAGAGGGATAGTTTTCTTCTGGAACTAACACAAAAGTTTTTTAAATTCCGAAAACGAAGAAAAATAATAAGTTCTATCTTTAGCCACGGTAAAACATTAAGTTTTGTAATGACAAAATAAGCTTTATTAAAATAATTCTTATTTTAATATTTTGAAGTAAAACAAAAGTTTTCATTTGTGAAAAACTGCATTTTAAACATAAAACATGTATTTAAAATATGTTTATTACCATTTAATGACAAAAAGTAAATGAACAAAGAAATGTGAATCTAATAAGCAGGAATCTCTTAAATGCTTTTGAAGTTTCTGTAGAATTTTAAGTTATGTCCAGTATAACCATTTAAGGTTCAATATATAAGGAGCATGTATGAAATGATTTTTATAGGAATTTATATGAATAAAATTTTGTATTGAGTGCTTTTCCGTAAAGTAATAATTAATATGAAAAATACTTGCGAACAAGATATTGCTCTAACATCAATAGCTTAGGAACTGTTATAGATATTTGGCAGAGAGAATTCCAATCTGATTTTCTTTAACCCTCGAAAATATTATTTAAACGTTGGAGTTGCCCCCTACTCTCACATTTCAATCGATCAATTTTTTTCGTAATACCCTATAACACAGGAAAGAAATCACAAAAATTACAACACAGAACTTGGACCATCTTGTATATAATAGGTATTCATATACTGCTATCTGTATATTCTGATCAAAGCATAAACGTCAACACTCGTAAAAGTTTTGAGTTAATTCTGATAATTGACTAAAATAACTTTCTAGGTTGATTGAAGTTTCGCTTTAATTTAGTTCATTTTTTTAAGAATTTATTTATAATTTAAGATATAAATGATAGCCTTTCAAAACGTTCTTCACAAATAAAAGTTCTCATCAACACAAATAGTATTATTAATGATAAAATAATAGTCTGAAAATTAAATCGAGTAGCTAATTTACACACAATATTTCAATCAGACCATAAATTTAAATTTATTATAATAATCCGATTTACATAATAATTCCTCTTTAGATAAATTCTAAAAGTAGAAAATTCCAAAAAAAATTTTATGCGTCGGATTGGTGCAATTACCAACAAAAAATTGTTTTTCTTCATTTTTGTTATGTGTGTAGAGTTTCTGTAGAGGACGTGCGCATAGCCCAAAATTTACAGAAATAAAAGTATGTAATTGTACATTAAGAACAGTTTTCACATGTATTAATGTTAAAAATTACACATAGGTTTGTATACTGTTAATATTATAACAGATTTTCTTTTTACCAAAGAATGTTTTGTTCTTGAACATTTTTATTTACTCTTCTTGTTTTTTGCCTACATAATATGCATACGGGAGTTGACTCTACTCTAACTCATTATTATATAATGTGCAACTGCATGTTAGCATTATGCAGCATTAAAATATTGCAGAACTTAATATTATAAAGATACATGCATGTGCGTGTGACTCTGTCTTATGTGGTTACGATACATAGTATTTAACATCTCAAATTATAAAACAAAAACTTTAAATTTTCGCCCAAGTTCATAGTGTAAAAGAAAAAACATCTTTATTGCCTTTTTTTAGATTAGTTCACTTAAAAAACATTTTAGGATCGTTTAAAACTTTAACATTTAGAAATAGTATTAAATCTTTAATAAAAATAATAATAAAATTTTATTAATTATGAATTTCAGGAAAATATTTTGAATTTGTTTTGAATTTTAAACTAGCTAGCTTAGCTACCTAAAGTATTCATTTTCATATTAGATAGCCTCTGTCACTGCTATATGAAAACTTAGACAAAAAATAGTTACATATTTTGTTAAAACACTATATTGAATTCACTTAAATTACATCTTAAGAGCACCGTACATACATACGCATGTAAAATTCATTTTGTTGTCCGTTAGTTTGTATAAAATGTTACCGTATAATTTATGTTAATTGAAATACAAAGTTTTTTTCAATAAATGTAGACGAACTATTTAGCTAGATATTTGAAATTGTGTTTTGTTCTATAGGTACACTATTTTCTATTATACATAGGATTGTATAGGAACATTCTTATGTTATAAAGTATATGGGGGCTTCAGTATCAAGGTTGAATCAGTCCTAAACAGCACATCTTACCAAATATCAGCTACTTTAAAGCTAGCATAATTAAATGAGCTTAAGTCCAAATGAATTGAGCTAAATAATTTTCAATAAAGATATTTTATTATAAAATAACATAATACGAGTAATACCTACGAGATAAAAATTGATTAATTCATCTAAGTATATTAAAATATTGATTTTAACAAAAATATTTTAACACTGAATTATGTGTTACGTATTTTATTATACAATGGTGTTATTAAAATGTATAACAAATATTATAATATAATAGGTACATTCTTTTATACGTATTTACTGTACTATACTTATGTATTTAATGATTGCTGCACAAACTTATTACGGTTTCCATACTTAATTTTAAAATTTTAGAGAAAAGAAGAGCGAATATAAATTTTTATGTTAATAACAAAAATAATTTTTTTTTATATTTTTAATTATATTTTTTTTTTCAGTGAAATTGCACCCAATAAATTATAATCGAAATTCTCACAGCACTAAATTTATACCATTTATTGCTATTTCTTGTTATACTTGTTCTGTGGTATGTTTGATACCAAACTTTAAGTTATATATGAATGCATATTACTCGTATGTAGATTTATTTATATGTAGGCATATTAAACAATTTATAATGCATATTTCATATATTAGTATGAAACTGCCATGCAAAATATCCATAATAATTATATTAGAATGTGCATATATATCTTGTGCATAGATAATATAAAAATACATAAATATACATATACGAGTACGGTTATGTATAGTTATAACTTGCACTACAATTTATTTTTCATTTTCATTTCAAAAATGGTACTATATTATAGTCAATGTTTTACTTATTTGGCCTAACAGGCATAGTATGAACAACTTAACAACACATCAACATTTGAACATGTGGATATACGCAAAATATTTATATCGTAGCTATGTAAAATATAAAACATATAATATATACTTATAAGTATGTAAGTATATAATATGTATATTTTTAAGCAATAAAACCAGTAATGGTAAAAATAACAGCAAACAGAATATAGAAATATCAGGAGTAACATTCTTATACTCGTATAGGTAGAGAATAAAAAAATTATTTAAAGAAATAAAACAAAACAAAATAAGTATGCCTTAAGTACTCGATATTCACCTTTCTCTATATGTAAAACAGAGACATCTTAAGCCCAAAATGAAAAACTAAAAAAGAAAAACATAGTGTAGTCAGACAGTCATCGTAATACCTTTGATGCGAATAGGACGTTATTGCGCAATTTATTTTTTTTGTTTGTTATGAAGGAGTAAAAATAAGAACGAAACGAGGTTTCTGTTAATCTGACGATATTTCGGTTCGATTTATTTTCTTTGTACTAAGAATTGAATTTTAAAAATGTAATGAATGGCTCCAATGAAATTCTATAAAAAAGAAAATCAAATGTTTCATTTATTGTCTTCTCTATTTATTTTTTGTTTACAATTTTAGAACAAAAATTTTTACATTAAAAATGTGAATTCTAAAAATAAATGATTAAATTGAAAAGTGTACAATAAAAAAATTAATTTATTTAAAAAAATTGAATGAAAAAGCAATGCATTTAATATTAAAGGTCTTTT